CTCAGCAGGTGTATTGAGGGCTCGTCGCATGACCAGGCCACCTGGAATGAAACCATTCGCAACGATCTGGCGAACATTTTTGGTCGATTGGCAATCGTCGAAAGTGAGATCCAGAAGGGGACCAGGCAGGGTTCAAACCAAGCTACAGAGGGCCAGAAAATCGGCCGGCCCCTGCGTCGGCAGCAGTGATGCGTCTGGAGGTTTACTTGGATGCCGAACCATATATATCAGACCAAGATCAGTCTGTATTGGTCTTGAGGTATGATCACCAGATCAACCAACAGAATATGAACACGCTCATCATCGATGCTGGATAGGACGGTCACTGGATAAGCCTCGATTGACTCAGTGCCAAGCTAATGCCATGGCGAGCGACATATCATTTGTTGTTGCATTGGGGTCTTCGTGTTTTATCTATGCTTCCCTTAGCTGTGCAGACGGAAACTATGACTGGTATATGAATTGTGCCGAGATGGCTCTCCTGAACCGACGGGCTATAGTCGCGAGCGACTACATGTTGCCGAGTAGATTACATACTTGATTAGTTCCATCACTGCAGATGATTTGTATTGCCTGGCCCACTATGCTTGTACTTGGTCTGTATAAGTGACGAAATTCCCAAGAAGGCTAATCCTACAGTAGTGCTCTAGAATCATACGCCATGTAGCAAGGTGCGATCCTTAGCAGTTGATACTCGCACAGTAGTGCCACATCTATCGACTTGCGATATCCCACTCAACGAGCAATTGCTATTTGTGATTGGGCTGGACCAGGATACTACGGCAAGCTTTGGCTAATAACTATAATGCGCAAGAGAAGCGTCGGCTTCTCTACGAAACCCATAGCTCGGATATTAGCGATATTCCGATCGGACCATTAATAATACGTTTCCTTTACGGCATGGGAGACCGCGTGAGAAACAAATCCACAGGCCAACTTGGCAAGGTATTCTTTCTCACCTAAAGCGTATCTGAGAGTCTCGGCCTTGATAGGTCTGATGCTGAATACCGTATCGAGGTGCTTGCGCGTGCTCAAGTTACGAAAGAGCGTAGCCCTGACCTTTACGACAATTGATAGAATTTACAATACACACGATTTGGCACAGGATATATATAATCAGAACGTAGCAAAATGCTTCTTCAAGAACTATCTGCGCGTCGGATACAGCGAAAACCTTCTTCTGCAGGAAAGTGAGGACCTTTTCAGAACAACGCACCCTAATCGTCAGACAAAGGGGTCGTCTCAGTTGGTTGTGCTTAATTCAGGTTGAATACCTGGGACATGGTTATTGTTCGATTCGGAGATGCTGGGGGGCATATCCTGGCCAAGCGTAACCGCGCCGCCCTGATCGGGCCATTCCGCCTGGATCATTCCGGAGCCTGGCAAATAGGATGCAAGTCGTCTGTTCTGGAGGGCGTCGATTGCGCGCCAGAATCGAGTGGTCGCGGAAACCAGCTCCGCGTGTGCCTGATCCAACACTAGCTGTATATCATTCCACGGGACCTGATCTTGCAGCGCGGTGTTTGTGGATTCCAGCTGCTGCTGCAATTGGCAAATCTCCCGCTGAAGCTTCTGCTGCTCGGCTAATGCAGTATCCCTTGCCGTAACTGCGATTTGCATTTCCGAACTCTTTTGCGCTTTGTCGGCTTCGAGCTGGTCTAGCAACTGAGAAAGATCGTGGTTCTCTCCATCTCTCTCCTCAAGCACCTCTTGAAACTCCTCCTCAATATTGCTCATCACCCGGAGACACTTTCTATGCGTCGCTTTGTCGTTTTTCCTTTTCGGCTTCTTCGTAATGGAGGATTTCTAGCATAGTCAGTAAAGAGTACATTGAATAAAAGGGATGCAACCGGGGCTGTTCTGGCCATAGAGTAGTACGATCAAACAGGTGAGCATTGGCGTACCGAATCTCTGTGTGATTTCGTCTCTGGTTTGCGTGACTTTCGTCTATCCTTGGTCTCAGAACCAGTAGAACAAACGGAATAGAATGACGGTGCGGCACGCCGTCGTACGCCGTCAGACCTGAGGTCTGCGTCATCCTGAGGAGGCTTGGGATTCTTTGCCATGTTCGAACTTTTATTACCCTCAATAAACAGTGAATCAACGAGGCGCAGAAGATATGAGAAAAGTATGAGCAGTGACCTGCCGAGAATCTGGCATTATGTAGGAATAGGGAGAGGCCTAAGCGTAAGATCTGAAACAGAGCAGGGCTCCTACCAAGCAAGTGCGTCGGGACGAGAATCACGAACTCAATAGATTGAGGACTACTCCATATGCCAGACTCCGTGGAGCGTTATCGCGAACGCACTAAACATCTGCCCTTCGATTGTAATGTCGGGGATGCGATCAATTAGCCCGCACAAAGATGCATGTGGACGCACACTACCTTTTCACAGCATGAACAGGCCAGCCTCATATTATTACCAGTAATATCTCACATGAATTACGTTGCACTTTACTGAATAAATTCAGTTCAAGCAACAGGCTCAGCAGGAACCAAGAGTACAACGGAGCCCCGACAACGACTAAGCGATGTGTCGTACATGTTTGGTGATCACTAGACCACTTTCCATGGTGTCATGAGGGATCGTACGTGTGCCTGAAGTCTGTTTGATAGGCCTGGAGGATTTACTACCATTGATACATCTAAAGTCAGTGAATCTTTGGACGAAATAGAAGTTTTCAACCGGTATACAGTAGCTGAGCTGTGAAATGGGAGTTCGTAAAGTCCAAAGGCTGGTCAAAGGCAGGAAGCAAAAGCAACATTTATATATATGCATTGATTTCAATGACTTTCTAGTGCAAGTATAGTGAAGACACATCACATCATCAACCCACGATATTTTTAGCTGAGTTTTTACTTCTCTGCTTTTTTACAGTACTAAGAGTAATTGAGTCCGAGCCCCGTATTCATTCTCCAGTCTGAAACGGAAATTCGCCTTACGGTGAATATGACAACGGCAAACAGACTTCCACAAGAGCAAGAACCGCAATTGGGATGTCGATGGAGCTATTGAACACTGTTCTATACATTTAATACATACCAGACCCAACGCGCCTCAAAGTGTGTTTCAGGTCATCCTCAGAGGTAACAGCGGTGGGATGCCAAAGAATCAACTTTCAACTCAAAAACCCACGCAAGGCTTGGCAATGCCCGCTCGTCTTTATCACACTGGGCTATACTAGAAGCTGAGGGCAATCTCATTACCCGAAGAATGGTTTCGACACCGAAATTGAGTTCCAAAATTTGAAATTGAGCTCCAAAGAGTGTTTCGGGCGGGCGCTTTCGGATACGCACATGACAACACCTCCAGGTGTCAGTATCCTGACTGCAATGCCAGCTACAGGCGCAAAGAGAATCTGACCCGCCATGAATTATCAAAGCACGCTCAGCAGCAGGAGTTTGTATATTCCACTTATAATCGCGAATTTTGAAGGTATCCACGCATTCGTACTCATCTCCGAACAACCCTAACTCTAACCCCCAAATCTTGAACTTACTGATACACTTCGACGCCATGTTTTAAAGCAGCACAAAATAGCAGATCCTCTCAACCGCGCACGACGAGCTTGCGCGAGTTGCTATGCAGGCAAGTCTCGATGCGAAGGAGGCGTGCCCTGTGAGGAGTGTGCCCGTCGCAAGATTCAATGTTCTTTTCAAAACCATACTAGTGCTTGGAAAAAGCTACATCACAGCTCATTGGGCTCACCATCCTCATCTCCAAAATCTCCAAACCTTGAACAGTCAAGGTCAAATCATTGTGATAAGAAGAGGGAATGTATTGATCGCTATTTCGAGGTGTTTCACCCAAGTTGACCTTGTATCCATAAAGGGTCTTCCAATGTACGCCGGGAAACACCATTACTTCTACAAGCAATGGTGATGATAGGCATGTGGGTATCGAGATATTCGTATAGGAACTGTCTAATGCTTCGCGACACCGTGAATGGATTCATGGCCCTTTTTGAATACCTTGTAAAGATGGTCAGTTTTTCAGACGATCAACATTGAGCGAGATCAGATATCATCTTACAGAGGCTCCTATGAACACTTGATAAGAAGAGGATGGCCCGGGCATGAGTTTAGCAGCTGTATGATGTCGAAAAACAAGTAGATACAGGTTCCATGACGGGCAAACTTAAGAGAAAATCAGCAAATTTTGTGCGCAGCCAGGAAGAGAAGAACTCGCCTTCGGTAATAGTGACGAAGTCCATGGTTGATGATGAAGGGTATATTTCCCGACTATGTCGAACGTGTACGTCAAGGGGGTGTAGACTGAGCTCTAGGTCATTTTCGCCAGGGGTGGTATGCCTGGTGGGATGTGTTGACAAAGGGGTTTGAAGAGAGTTGTCGGGGATAGGTCGGATTGAACAGGCATTCGTAAAGTGGCCAATCTTTTGGACCTGCACTCAGGACAGCACAATATGCCAGGCCAGCAGGAACGAAGTTCCACAGTTTTGGCGAAAGCAATAAGAAGCATGCCTGATTTTCCATTCATTTACCTGGTCATAGTAGGTCCAATTGAGTCACCACCAGCAAATTTACGTACGAGCAGAGTGCCGGTGGGATAGCGATGGGAGACCGGTGGGAACCAGATCGCTGGTTTGTAATCTCCCTTTGGAATAAATTACTAAGGCAAAGCACGAGTACTTATAAATCCACAAAGAGTATTCTTTTCCCCCGATACCTAAAAGCAGGGGCAAAATCACTCCTGACTTTGTGAACACCCAATCATACGGTGCGGCGGCTTATTTCAACTTCGTAATTACATCGTATACAATGACCCCTGCGTCAGTGGACTGCAACTTCCCTCTGGGCTTTCAGACTTGAATTGTTACTAGGATCAGGGCGCTCGTTCCTCGGCCGTGTAGGTCAGTTAAGGGTCCCCATTCTTTGGATGCATTAGACCACTGCGCCGAAGCAACCTATCTGTGTTTTTGCGCCAATATTAATTGATAGTTGTGGGCTGGGCCATTTTAACTGTCCCAAATACTCACAAATGCATACCAAAACGCGATTGCGCAAGGCATGTGATGCGTGTAGTATTCGAAAAGTGAAGGTTAGTCTCACGATTGCCAAAGCCTCCGGTAGAAATGTTAACCACAAGGAAAGTGCGATATCAGTGGGCCACCATGTCGATCATGCGTCTTGGTGGGCATCCAGTGTACTTCTATGAGGCCAAGCAGGAGAAGAGGACCTTCAAATCGTCATGCTGAAAGTTTGAAGAAGCAAAAGCTTCAAGCCCAGTCGGATAAGTCACCGCTTAGCCTATCTGCACATCCATTGCCAAGCACTCCTCAATCGTGTGCAGCGTTTACTCATTTGCCAACGACAACTATTCCCGCTTCTGCGGAAGCCATATGTTCATTGCATACGGTACAGCTGCTTCTTGACGATTTCTTCTTTTACATTCATCCCTTGGTTCCTGTTCCCCATGAACCTACTTTCCGCGCTGCCTTTGAACGCCGCGACGATACCACTAGCGGCACTTTCTTAGCCCTCTTGGCTTCCATGATAGGATTTCTAGTGGCTTCCTTTCCCCGACGGCCCAAACTACGGCTCAACACTAAGACTGAACGTTCTGCATTCCCGAACTCTATAGCATTGGTAAAGCATTGCCATAATGTTGCCATCCAAGCTCGAGGCATTGGGTACCTTGAACGCAATGTGACAGTCTACGATGCGGCCACCAGTTATTTTTTAGGGGCATGCTCCGGCTACGTTCAAAATTTACACCGATGCCATGTTTATTTGGCGGAATGTCTCGCGATGATTCAGGTATATGACCTCTGTCATTCTCCTACAGCTCTGCCTTCTACGCCCGGAAGAAACGCCACGACTTCAATATCCTTGAAATCAGGAATAAAGTTTGATTGGCCGGCCCGGAATATCACAGACAACAGTGAGATCGATCTTATAACGCAGGAGTTGGGCCGTCGGCTGTTCTATGTCACCTTGGTTGAATATCAACATCTGCATCAAATGGGCTCTTCCACTACCAAGGTTCATATACCTACGGAAATTGACCGGTATCCACCGCTCCCACTAGAGATTGACGACGAGTTCCTCTTCTCCACCAATGTCGGCGCTCAGCCTGCAGAGCGGGTATCACGACTTGTCGCTTTCAACGCAAATGTCCGCGTGTACGGCTCGAACAATGCCTTGTTGGCTTGGGAGGTTGCATTTGGCAGTGGCCAAACCTTTGACTGGGAGCATCAGCGCCTCGGCCTATGGGAATGTCTACAAAAGGCGAAGTCTGCACTTTCAAATGTTCCTGCCGAATTGTCTCTCTTCCACCCGAAGGGAAACTCCGCGGCTGAGTTTTCCGGATTGAACGAGGATGGCTCGATATTCGACTACCCCAACGAACATAGCCATCAGGAACGGCGCGCAATCCAGTATCAGATCCAAAAAGCCAACATCTATGTCAGCCAACTCTGCACAAGGTCCTACCTTGTTGAAAAATACTGGGATCTCTTTGATACATTCACTAGATATGGGAAATTGGCAAAAACATCCACCCCGGCACTTGCCACGTCGCACATGAATGCCGGGCCCTCATCAGAGGCGCCTGTAGAGCCCTCCTCATTAGCGAGCCCGATTATCTCCTCTCAGGCTCTAACACACGTGCACACAGACGCCATTGGCCACGCGATGGCTGAGGAGCGCAAACTGGTCATCAGGGAGTTGTACATCCTCCTGCGAACCGTCAAACAGGAGAACATGGAGCCCAACGGTGGCAGCATCGTAAGTCTTTTTCTACAACCCTTCTTCAAAATGACAGACTAATACCAAACTAGACAACCAAAATCCGCCAAGTAGCATCCACCCTCCTCAACCAATCAACAACCTCCATCCCAACCGAACACCCATTTGCCATTCCCAGAGCGGGATTTTTTGATCCAGGTCCAAACACCTCAAAACTCCTAGTCCTCACGGCCGATGAAGCGAGATTCTATCTCCACAGCTTCATCGATACCCTGATCCGCCTTGACGGCCACGCTTCCGCAGCCACAGATCCGGGCAGTGGAAACGAGGCGTGAGCTCGCGCGCAAATTGGCGCGTAATTAATGACCTGAGCGCTATGAGTGTGACTAGGAAGCGTTGAAGCAGTTGGCAAGCTCAAAGAACTATTAGGAAGGTTTGGATTAGAAGTAGCGTGTACACGACAGGAATAGCCATTCTCTAGTAAGGCTCTGTCAAAGCTGGCCACACGGGTGCGAATATGCCGCAGGTGGACTGGTATAGAAGGCGCGGCCTTCTTTCAAAATGGGAGGAAGAGCATCTTTAGCCTCCGCCGTGTCAGCGGGTTTGTCGTGGTCATCCGTTGAGTGTATCTAGATCGCGGAATAACTGCTTTGTGGAAGAATTGGCTGCTCATTTTCACGCAAAAATCCTTCCATCTATAGTGTGCCCAACTACGAGAGACTGGGGTGAAAGCCTGGTATCCTACAACGTTGGCTCTGTTGATGGAAATTATGGTTTCTCGATCGTCTATAAGTCTTCATGCATGGGGATGTTACTTTTTTACGTTTGTACTAAAGGATATACGTAATTCTGATTGAGTACCTTGTACCTCGTACCATAAATTCCAATTGCATCAGGATTCGCCGAGGCTTAGATCAATCACAGTGCGTTCGACCGAAGGCGGACCGAAATACATTTCCTTACCCTATGCCCAGTACCAGACCATGGCAATGACTGCGAAGCCACCAAATACAACCGGAGCATAGTTCACCGTTTCGGGTATGACAGGAACGTAAGAGGGCATGCAGAACAAGGGTGCAGCATGCATACTCCAAGCTAAGCAAGAGTTTGATTAGTCTTCTGACACAATCAAGGGAACAATAACCAGCACTTATATGTGTTGCTGTGATAATTTTTTGATCTGGTCACTTGATTGGCGGTGCTAATAGGGAATCTAGTGCTGGCAAATATTCTAATTCCTCGTGACCAAGACCAATTCTCCAAAACGGATGGATATTGTTAAGTGGAAATGATTGATATCATGTTAACAAACCAGTAATTCTATAGGCACACGAGAGGCCAATTGTATAAGTGAATATATCAGTACAATTAGCTACTGTAAAGGGGCGTGTAAAGGAAGGGGGTATACCAATCCGACAGCCACCGGTCTCCCACCGGTCTCCCACCACAGCACCGACTCACTCATGGGTTTTCCGTTGCATGTATATATAATATTCTCTTTTTATTCAATGGTGTCTTGAAGATCAATTGAAGAAGGTTTAATTGATGATCATGGCATCATTTTTATAGAAAATTCTACATGTAACAGTGGGGTACCGGTGGGAGACCGTTGAGAACAGATAGAACAGATGATAATCTCGAGAGATTACGTACGAATCTATTGCTTATAAATTAGACCCTGCTCCCTCTGGTAGCCACTACGTATTCATTCCTAACTAGCACCACTGCTCAACAGCCTCGTGGCGGCACTATCAACTTCTGCTCGTCAACTTCTTGATTTAAAGATTTCATTGACGATGGCGAGTCTCTTGGTTGTTCTTGGCATCACGGGTAACCAGGGTGGCAGCGTTGCAGATGCCTTCGTTACTGACAAGAACTGGCGAATCCGTGCCATTACGCGCGACACCACAAGTCCTTCCGCACAGAACTGGGCATCACGCGGTGTGGAGCTTGTGTGCGCTGACATGGACGATATCGACTCCCTGAAGGCCGCCTTTGCGGGCGCGCAAGCTATTTTCGCGATGACAGACTACTGGTCTCCTCTTTCTGACCCAAAGATAAGAGCAAAGGCCACAGAGCGTGGAATAAGCGCAAATCAGCTATGCGCTGAGCTGGAGGCTCAGCGTGGTAAGAACATGGCGATCGCGGCCGCGTCTTCCAAGGTGCAACAGACGCTGAAGCGTTATATATACAGCAGCCTGCCAGATGTCTCGCGGCTTTCAAGCGGAAAGTACACTCACGTGTGGCATTTTGACAGCAAAGCTGCGGTTGAGCGATTCATTCGCGAGGACATGGATATGGTGGAAGCAGGCTTGGCTGAGAAGGCCAGCTTCATCCATGTTGGTCTTTATTCCGATAATTGGATGCGGTCGGGTCTTGAGATCCAGAAAGACCACAGTACGGGTGGCTACTGGCATATCGATATAGGTACTGGCCATAGGAAGCAACCGTTTGTCTGGGCTCGCAGAGACACTGGTCCACTGGTGAAAAGACTCATTGAGGACGTGATACCTGGCACAAGGCTTCTGGCTGTCAGCCAAAATGCCAGTTACCGCGACTTCATGGCAATTTGGGCGAAGACTCTCGGAAAAAGTCTTGCTGGCGACGATGGTATCAAACAAATGCATGATGAGGGTTACAGGAAACTGATCTCTGGCGATGAGCACCTCAAGGAGCACATTCTGCAATACGGACAATATGCCCGCGAATTTGGCTATGACAGTGGCGATACGGACACCCTCTACCCTATTGATGTAAGCCGCCTCCTTCCGTCTGAGAGTCCCTTGTAGTCAAGATTATATACTGATCTTAGTTCGCGCAGATCGGCGCAGAAGACCTCGTTACTTCTCTTGAGATGTACTTCAAGCAGGAGGATTGGTCTATGTTGCCTTTGTAGGAATGGTGCGAGTATACCTAAAGCGGCGCAACCTCCTCAGTCTACATGAGTAAGCTGTCAAGGCTTCATGACGAAGCATGGCTAATTAGATTATAGATCTGAACCTAGAAGCCCATGCTGGATCGAATGAGGCTCGGGATATTTCAGTTGAGGTGTGATGAACAAGAGGTCAATCGGTTTAGGGTGATCGTTTGTCTCAAAGCGGACAGTGATGAAACCTCTCCAGCAATAATCCACATAATGCCATCTTGGTGTTGTCAAAAGGCCCTAAGCTAAAATATTGAGGCGGGGTTCTGTGGAATGTCCGTGCGCTATCAGCCCTAAAGCAAATTTTCACGCAAAACCAGTCTGATGAAAAAGGCATGCGAATATAGTAGAATGTGCGGCGCAGATGTATGCGTGGGAATTCGAATCCGAGAGACGAGCCAGGTACATATCTTGCCAGCGGATACTTCGGGGTTTGGGGCTCGTTGGGATCATGTCCATTAATGCAATTGAGTGTATCATTCGAGTGGTCATACTATCAGTGCCGTGGCGCCGACCGGCTAAGTAAATGACTATGGCCGATTCCAGTTTTCATTGAGATCCAGAAATCTTGGAAGGCATGAAAAATGGCGTCATGTGCCTTAAATCCAAAGTTTATCAGACTCAAGACTCAGAAATCCATGCTGAGCTTAAGCTTGTTCCCTTCCACTATTTCATCCTCCCTGCCCATGAGCTCTTCCATATCCCAGGGACAGCTAATATATCTTCCGCCCGTCCACTCTCTTCGTTCCGCAGCGAGCCAGGCGATGGTGTCGCCTGCGATTTCTGGCGTATGTGGCAGCATGTTACGCACCTCCTCGGGCTCGTTAATCGTCATATGGGTCTTGATTGCTCCGGGGTTTACGCAGAAAGCAAGCAAACCGTCATTGCAGTGTTCTAGGTTCAGGGCCTCTGTCCAGCGAAGTACTGCAAGCTTGGAAGTTCTATAGCTTGCGCCGCCTTTTCGCACACTAAGAGCACCGGAAGAGGCTACATTGATCATGATGCCCTGGCCGTCGTGTTTTGCGCGCGTGTCAATCAGCATAGGTAGGAACGCCCGCGTCATGTTGAATAGCCCATGGACGTTGACCTCCCAAGTCTTCCAGTACATATCTGGGTCTGCGTCCAGGATGGAACTGTAAGGCTCCTGATGTGCTGCATTGTTGACGAGCACATCCAATCGATGCCCGAAGGCATCCGAGACGGTCTCCTTGAAAGCCGCAACGCTTTCCCAACGAGAGATATCAACACGGCCGCTTACTACCTGAGGTTCAGGCCGGCCTGCCTCTACAGCCGCAGCCTTTACTCGAGAAACAACATCATCAGAGACGCCATGTAGGTCTATGACAGCGACTGCGGATGCTCCAGCGCGAGCAAAGGCAGTGGCAGTTGCATAGCCCACGCCGTCCTCCCGGGCAGCGCCAGTGATGAGCACACGCCGTCCAGAAAGGTCCTGTGCCAGTGGCGAAATGAAGGGATAACTTGTAGCATGAGTCTTTTCAGTGAAATCGCGGCGCACGACAGGCCGGTCAGTGGAGGACATGGTGACGTGAAGGGTGTAGCGTAGAGGATGAAGCGATATATTATGCAGGCGGCGGAGAGGGGTACCCTAGCTGATTAGATCTTGGCGGTCTGGGTAGATACTCGTAGGGACGACGATGATGATGATGTCGGAGAAAGCATCGGTAGAGTAACGCGGCAAGTGTGAGACTTCTGCATCGGTTCCACGCGAGAGCACGTGACTGTCGTTCAGGGCTTGTAGATAGCAAGCCGCGGAAGGTCCGGCTGCTGTGTCCGTAGTTAGGTACGGATTACGTAGCGAGTCTGCGCACACACTTACAGTATTTTACCATAACAATGAAAACGACGGCCATTACTGTCTGTGCGGAGTATTCCCGAGTTCATGCGATGCATGATGCTCCGCCGCTGATATAACACAGTTGAAGTCCGATCGGGGTCCAACTGACCATTCAAAACCAGAACTGGTAAAGTCATCTTTCCACGATCGCCGCTCAGGACTGGCTGATATCCGCACGGGGGTGCTCTAATCCACGTGTGATCGTAGCAGGCATGCGCCCAAACCATCAACCGGAATGCAAACATGACATGAGCACTGATTAGGGGTAGAGGCTAGGTCGTAGGAGACAGTCCAAGAAGTCCTACAACCAGATGGCTCTTCTGATGTTGTTACAGACATCAAAACCACCTTCACGGTGAATGGCTCGAACAGTGATATGCCAGAAATGGACCGGGGCGCGATGACGAATACATCATCGATGACCAAAGGACAATGAGCTCGGGGAGGTAGGAAAGTCGGCGATTTGCTGGCAAGACCTGCTTGCGCCGTCATTGCGATGTCTTAGAAAACGGTCTCAATGGATAAAGGGTACGCGATAGCTTGACTGACCTGCAGCTGCAGGTACATTCAAAGTAGACGGGCTTTGCACGTAGTGCTTGGGCTTGCACAGAAACTTGTGAGCTCAGAAATCAAATCTATCAACCATCTGTCCACCGGAGACATCACAACACTTCCCACACCCTTATGATGCAGCTGTGTAAATGCCCGATTGCTTGTTCTGCCCCCTTGGATACGTGAAACAGCTCAGTAACGCGGAGTGGGATCAGGTAGGACTGTATCAGACGGTGGTTCTTGGGTCATGGGCCCTCTTTTTGGTTCGGCTTTCCTCGCTCTTGTCATCTCGATTTGAAGCTGAGATGGTCATGTTAAGTTGTTTGGCTAGAAATGACGGGACTTTCGCCTCACCTTCTCCTTGCACGCAGACTTGGACTAACAACCTGGCTGTGTAGAAAGGTACGAACGACTCATATGTACTGTATGCCCAGTGTAGACGCCGATAACACAATGCATACCAAGATGTGTCATATTACTACCAGTAGATGCTTCATCGGGCTAGTGTATATATTCTAGTGATTACTGTAAGTAAATTTTCGAATACAGACAGAAAATCTCATGCAGGGCCTCGGAATATCTTATATTAGGAATTGACCACTGACTTCAACGGTCACGCTACCGCAGGACGTAGACAAGACGTAGTTAAAGGAGCTACAATAGGATCATGGGCCATCACAAAATGCGTATCACCCCATCTGGACCACGTCGTGTTGGCCATGCTCCCGCGACCTTTCAGTCCTGTACTTTCTGGAATCCTGAAAATAAGCGGCTAGTCTGGTCGGTCGTTAACTGGGATGGTGCTCTCCTTGCAAATGACGTTGACGGTTGCCGTCGCGATAGCTGACAAACTTAAGACCCTGTTACCGCTAAACACAACATTCATGCTTCTACTAGTTCACTGAATAATGAGAAGAAGGCTTAGTTTCCAATTGGTCCATAACACCATTATAGGCGTATATTATCGAAGTATAAAAGTTTGTTGAGAAATCGGCCCCTTGCGCGAAGAGGTTCTAAGCGCCTAGTTGCAATGCACTAAACTCGCAGTCCTACAGTGTAGTAAACGGTCATTATTGGGTTAGAACTAATATCTTTGATTATGAGCCAGATAGATTTCCTATTTCCCCAATACAAGCAAGTTGTATCACCCTTTGATCCACTTTTTCAACGTATGGTTTCCTTAGCCCTCAAGTAAAGCCTTCAAGGTATCAGCAGGTGTACGCTTTGGAGCAGCAAGCCTCAGGACCTCCTTGCTGGTCGTAGAAGTCGAGCATTTCCCTTCCCACACGGTCTCGGCGGCCCGCGTCATTGAATAGATGACGTTCTTCGATTGCTTGGTTGCCGCATACTGGTACTCATACAGCATGTCGATGAATGAGACGTCCTTGTAGCTAACATCTTTGACGGGCGTACCAATGTGCTGTTCAACCATTGCGACAATCTGCATTCCAGTGATGTCCTCGGGTCCATTCAGAACGTATTTGGACTTGTTATGGGCGGAAGTGTCGTCCTGAGACAAGAGATGAGCTGCAATAACACCAACCTCGTCAGGATCGATAATGCCGATGGGTGCATTCTCTGATGGCACCAACCGAAGTGTATCCTGCTCTCCAGACTTGCGGTATCTCTTGATGAATTCCGCAGCAGGGGACATGACGAATGGCGAGAAGATGTTTGGCTGAAGAGAGGTCCACTGCAAGTTGTCGAACTCGGGTGACCCGAGGAGAGCCTCGATGGCCCAGTGCTGGCGCGGATAGTAAGCGGGGCAATCGGGGCGGACATTTGCAGCCGTAGTTGAGATCCGCACGACATACTTGACGCCGGCGCTGAGGGCGTTTATGTGGAAGGTCGACTCTTCGGCAAATTGGTTCGGTTCATTGTGGGGTGCAATGAATACTCTAGTAACTTGGTGTTCGCGGAGCCAGTCAGCGGTGATCTCAACCCAGTTCTGTTCGACCACTTCAATTCCAGGGAGCTTGGCAAGATATCGGGCCACTGGACTATCCGAGGAGCGAGTGAGAGCAATAACGCGGTACCCGGATAAGGTGCTGCTGGATTGAAGCAAAGTGGGCAATGTTTGAGCGACAGCTCGGCCGGTATTGCCGGTGGCGCCGGCGATGAGGATGGAAGGAGTCATGGTTTGAGGTACGTGATATAGTTTACATTGACTCTTCAGGCTTTTACTACATACTTATACCCGGCTTCTTTTCAGGTAGTCCCTTCCATAATCTCGGTGATTAGAAATCTAGGAAGGGAATACGAGTTCGAGCAAGTCGTAAGTCGCAGAATTACTAACAACCTCTTGCCGGCCGCCGGCATCCCACTGAGTAAGACTGTGTTGTGTGCCCTTTGCAAAATTCCGCCTCGAAGTGGGTCCCGGATTTCTCTCTAAGCTCAGAAGCGGTGGGAGGCCGGTGGGAGAAGGCCGGTGGGAGGCCAAGGAGTTGCCACCAGTTCGAACACCCGCGCAAACCTCAGCAAGGCCCACTCCTCCTCCCCTTTGCCAGGTCATTTTTTGAAGGAGCGCTGATTGCTAGAGCCAGTTTTACTGATGGAAGAGTTCGGCAGCGAAATCGAGTTCTTTCAGAGTCTCTCGGATCCTTTCGTGTACCGCGCGTTCCGGTGTCAATTTCCTGGCTGCAATGCGAGGTACCGGCGCAAGGAGCAGTTCATACAGATCACTCAGGGTCTTTTTTGAATGACTACAATCCAGAAAATGTTTTGGACTACGCCTCTGACGTCGTCAATGCAAATAAGTTGTGGAATCTCAGTGAGGCAATTGTCGGGGAAGAATTCCGTTGAAATGTCTCTGCGGTTTCTGCTTCCAGATGATCTCCAGACGTGTTTTCGAACACATATGGCTGGACGGAAGCATTCGCTAACCTACCTGCCTTTGGGTTCTCGGTAGCTAGAAATAATGAGTCGTATTGATCTGGAACACAGTCTTGAATTCTCTTCTCTTTTTGGGCAATGGCAATGTAGAACTATGATTAGTCTCTGACGGCGACCAAATAACCACTGGTAGCACCCACCAAGACATGATTATTTGCCTTGTAGTTGTACACGGTGGACCGCTTATTGTATACCTAGGGAGGTGTCCGACGGCCACCATTCCCTGCGGAAGAACTCCAAGGATTGGTAAGCTCTTCTAGGTCTATTGATCAATCGAACGCGGCTTCTTCTGCGAGGCAGAATTCCGCTGAAGCGCAGTGTCATTAATTAAGGAGAAACAATCCCTCAAATTCAGGTGGATATTTAAAAGCACGTAAAGTATGGAGTACTCTACGCAAGATGGAGGACGCGGTCGCCCGACGAAGAGGCTCTTCAGGGGGTGGGTTATGAACATGCAATATGCCACAAAGAATTTCCCAGCGAGCGGGATTCGGAAATAATTTTTGATTCCAGCTGGCTAATCTTTAAACGCAGCTTTGCTGGATCTAAGCTTCCGGTCAAACCTCAACCAAGGGTTCTAGTGAAGAAAACGTGTTCTTGAAATACCTAGCTCCTAGTGGAACTCATATGCAGCCCGGTCTTGACTGCGCGGTCAGATACAGCAATGGACGTATAAAACAGTTCCGACATTCTAGTGACTGCTTAGTGTATTAGTGGGAAGACTGAGACATGAGGTGCGGTGATGATTCTGATTTGGCATATATTTTTAGGATTAACGTATGTGTTATTTGAGTACCTCACTCTTGCCATTGGTTAGCCGTCAACAATAGCAATGCGTATATCGAGGATGCGAGATCGGCCCGGTAACTAGGTCTCTATAGCTGTATTTCCCTACCATGAAAGGCTATTTTTATTGCGATTGTTACTACGGGGTATAGAAATCAATATCGACGACTTAACGAAAACTCAGTTTGCTAAATGACAATAGCCTGAAATCTGTGCCCATTGAAGAGCCTCGTGATGATTGAAACTTTGTTCAGATCTGAGCAAAACCAGCACTAAATAACCTCTGGGTAACCGCAATGCGGAAAATATACTTGGTAGCGCTTGCTTTTCCAGCCTTCAAGTCTTTCAAGGCTGCCTCAACACCGTCGAGGCCTCGCGGCCTAACTTCGAAAGGATGACCAGAGAAACTGCCATTCTGCAATGCTCTCGTAAAATACCGAGAGAAAATAAATCCAAGTTCCTCATTGTCGCCAAATCCAGGCTGCTTGTGACTGTGATCGATTTGATAGTAGGCAGACGCCATACGGAGCCTGGCAGGCTCAACCTGGGGAGCCTCCCTTTCAGCCATGCGCAGAATTTACCAAGCAGTGGTCATCCCCCAGATGCTCTTTGGGGTAGCGGCCTGGTACCAACCAATGGTGATTAGCAAGACGAAGGCACGCACCGTCAGCCAACCGTTCGTGACTATCCAGAAGCGGGCAGCGTGCCTGATCAGTGGAGCGTTCAGAACGACGGCAGCAGAGGCTCTGAACACCGAGTTACACCTACCACCGATCGCGATTCACATGAACCGCCTGGTCAAAGAAACAGCTATAAGACTACGAACAGGACCAGCATTTGCTGTCCCCGCAACAATGCTACGACGCCGACCGGTGGACGAGACAGATTGGTCTGGATGGACACCCATGGAAGCGCAAGCCTAGAAGACGGGCGGATGCCTCATGGCTTCCCCGGAACTTTGGCGAGAGACTGGGAGAGTCGTAAGGCATTCGTCTAGGCACCATAGCAGGCGCCGCCAGAGGTGATCATCGAGGACAGAGACACAGCAGTGAAAAGCCACGACCATATTCTATCCAAAGACCCAAGAGGAAGGCCCCTGACTCTCTACACCGACGGGAGTGGGATCGAAGGGAAAATTGAAGCAGCAGTTGTTGATCTCCAGAATCACAGTGCCCATAGCCAAATGGGGGACGACGATACGTCCACTGTGTATGCCGCCGAACTTCGCGGCGTCGAGATGGCACTTAACTCAGCACTGGACAGCACAGAACAATGGACTGAACAGGCGAAAAATGGCCTTGTCATCTTCGCAGACAGCAAAGCAGCATTGAAGGCGCTCCGCAAACCACGGATGCCGTCGGGACAGGTCTATTTGGAAGGGTGCCTCGACCTGATAAGGCAACACGCTGCCAACGGTATCCAAACAGAGCTTAGGTGGATTCCTGCTCATCAAGGAGTGGCTGGCAATGAAATCGTCGACCGACATGCAAAGGAGGCGGCTCTGGAACCGCAAGGACCACAGAACCCAGATAATCGATACGTTCGTCTCGCAGCTACGGCCAAACGCCGTATCCGCCGCGAGGCGAAAGCCGAGTGGGCAACATCATGGGTCGCAGAGAAAACAGGCCGGCCGACGAAACGCTTGATCGAACTACCAACTAAGAAGACCCTGGAATACTGGTCCGACCTACGGAAGGCGACGGCATCGGTTCTGATGCAGCTTCGTAGAGGGGAATTGGCCTTGCGGCTTACCTGCATCGCATCAACCGGCGCGACTCAGCGAGATGTTGCGATCTGGGGAACCAGACGATCAGTCACGTCTTGCTTGAATGCCCGCTGCTCCAGGACGAGCGCAATTGGATGAGAAACGCTCTGTCAGAGCGTGGAGTCGCTCTTCGACTCGATGAGCTCCTAACGCGGCCGGAGGCCCGCGCGACTGTGGCCGAATTCATGATACGGACAAATCTCTTGGATCAGTTCCAAGCAGTCGACCCAATGGCTCTCGGGGTCGAAAAAGGCGACGGGAAAGGATGACCCCCAGGACAGTGTGACGGAAGGAGAAGGATGGTGCCCGTAAGGAGTGCAGTGCCAGGTCCACTGTACTCCCTTGATGCAAGCGATCACAAGAGCGGTAGCCGACAGCCGGAATGGCTGTGTAGATAGAAGAGTGTGGGGGAGGAGTTGGGTAGTGAAGTGCGCCTGGGTTGATATGGGAGGGGGCGACGCTTAGAGTTTCTTTGTATACTGTGCTTACGTAACCGAGTTTTATTCTCGAACGGCCATTCAGAGGGGCTCACCCAACGAGCCCCATGAAACGGATGTTCAGTGGGCTGGCAACCACTTTAAAGCTGTCGGCAGGCCTGACAGCACTCCCGCATAGCAGCATATATTAGAGCAAGCTACATCGGGCAAATGAATTCATCATCATAGTAGGCAGACGTCTAGGTCGTTGGGCAATACAAAATTAACCTGCCCGCCTAGGGTGACCGACTGCTTCAAGACTCTGCGCTTTGCGTAATGATAACGGCATCAAGTACGTGCCGCACAGAAGAATGTCCAGCTTTTTCAAGTCTATCTCTTATCGCCTTGGTCGTTGCTGCTACTCCTTCACGGTAGTCTATCATGGTGAATTACGTTACAGCCGAAGACAGATGTTCATTATAAGCATGCACATTTGCCTTCCCCGCTATTGATATTTCATGGCTTATAAAGCCCCTCTTCATTCAACAGGTTTCATGGAGATTTTATCCCACCATCATACATTCAATTGCGTCATAAACGGCATAATCAATGATAAGCGAAGTGCCAGTGGTGGGAGACCGGTGGGAGAGTGGGAGAGTGGGAGACCGGTGGGAGCCGGGACGCTGGTTAATCTCCCATCAGGATGAATTATAAGGCAAAGCACAAGTCTTCTCAAATTTACGACAGAGTACCCTTTCTCGCTCGAAAAAGCCCAATAATGGCTACTGCGAGAGATAATTCCAAGCCCTACATACCTATTGCCGGTGGCGCAGATGATGGCTGGTCAAAAGAAGGCGAGGCGACTGCCACATGCTACTGTGGTGCGGTCCAGTTGGCCTTTGTAAGTACGCCCAGGCATCCCTTATACCCCGTCTAGTATATTCCGTTAACATGATGGACAATCTTCAGCCAACACAAGGCCCAGGCCTAATCGACACATTCACCTGCCATTGCGCAGACTGCCGAAAAATCACCGCATCCATGTTCGCGACCAATTTCATTGTGGCAGACACACATCTAAAACACCTACGTGGCCAAGAAACCCTCAAATCATTCAGCCAGTCGAAAACCATAGCCTCCGGCAAGGCAATGACAAATTGTTTCTGTTCCACATGTGGATCGCTCATGTACCGCATCAGTGAAGTGTTCCCAGGACATAGTATCCTGCGTACCGGAACAGTGGACGATTTTACCCTACATGAAACCAAATTGAAGCCCAGGTTTGAGCTATATACCAAGGACCGAGTGGGATGGCTTCGGGGTGCAACTGATGTGGAGCAGGTCAATGGATCGGCTTATACTCCAAAGGGACCTGGTCTTTCTGGACTCTGAATGAGAACTACATTGATTGATTCCTCAGGCTTTTCGCAGCCGAAGGCTGCATGTAGCCCCCTAGCAAGTATCTACTGAAGCCAAGCTACCCTTAAATGGATGTGCTGCAACATCCGCGAGTCGTTATTTGTGTACACAGTATAATAAGGTACTCACTAGTGGGGCAATAAGTGACAAAGGCCAATCAAATACTGGCACAAGGCGACCAAGCAACTAGGCGAAAGCGAGTTCCCGTACACACCCAGAAAGTCCCAGAATGCGCGCAACCCATTTCAGATGGTCTCGCAAGGCAAGAGGACGAATATAAACTAGGCAGATGGAGTCGCCTCGTCCTTTGATGGCCGTGATCTGGTTGGTCGGCTGCCTGCCCTGCGAGGCATTGTACCGACCGTTAAACGTTGCACATGGGAAGCCCGCGATATAGGCGGTATAGGCGTGGACAGCAGGTGATCAGTGGGAAATGATATCAATATTTTGCATAACCATTATACAGTGGAATGGAATAAGTCAGGCATAAAAATCATCAATTAAATTCCGAAATCCCCCGACCGCTGACCCTGCAAATGGCCAAATAGAGAAGGCGATCGCACGAGGTTGTGCGGGTATTCCTGGTATCATCGCAGAAATCAAGACCCAGTATTAGGCGACTACGGCCTTGGGATGACTGAACGTGGTGGTACCATACTGTGGTGGTGGGAGCTTGGTTCTAAGCAGTAAGCTACACACAGCAACATAGGGATCCAATGGCAGTCAAGAGTAAGCATTAGGAAATGACAGAAAGGCAATTAGGGCAATTAGGGCAATTAAAGACACATATCAACTAATCAACCAAAATAACAATGGCTTTAGGCTCTTCTATGAGGCTCTGTATTTCCTTTTCCTAGCAGGTGGAAAATAAACAATGCCGCCGTGATTATAAAGAACAAATTCCACCTCCTTGGAGTGAGCGCGAACATGAGAGTTTATCAAGCCTCTGTCCTTGTTCAGTTGTCAACCCGATTATGTCACCAACATGTAGCGGGGTTAAAATGGTAGGCTTTCCCTGGTCCCTGACTTCGACATCGTGAGCACCGAGAGATCGCGAGGACTGAGCGTTACATTGTAGGAAGCCCTCTATGAAGGGCAGCTTCGTATAAATTGAGCACAATGCTGGCTCATGTATGTTCAGACTTACGCGACACAATAATACCAAAGGCAAGGCACTTTCGACAAGCCGTAGGCCTGGGGCTTGTCCCACAAGCTCAGTGAGAGGAACCGTCAGTGAGTCCCAGCTTTCCGACGGAGGGTCACCGGGAGGCTCAAGACAGGTGAGCTCAATAGCCTTTAGGGTTACGCGGCAACCGTTGAGAGCTGCCAGGATCAGTTGGATGTGGTGCTCATAAGACCTCTGCTGTGTCATATTATAGGCCTGTTGGTAATCGCTCTCCCGATCCTCGTCGCCCCGTGTTTGACGAAATACCAATATCAATTCTTTCAAGTTAGAGAGCAGCTTGAAAGCAACGCTGATCAAGGTTGAAGCCCTTCCTGTTTCTATAGCTCTTGCTGCTCGGCACATATCCGTCGTAGTGTCTTATAAACACGCGTGTATCAAGGGTGATCGCCCGAGAAGTATTCCATTTCATCCCAGCCCTCACGACCGTTCACGTCCTCATAGCGCTCATACGTATCGACATATTCGTAAGGAGTAAGAATTTATGTTTTGAAAAACTGATAATATCGTATCTCTAATTTGAGGTCAGGCCTCTCCATAGATGGTTTGCTCACGGACCCTTACCTGGTCTAAGTAACATGGGGGCGATGTACTCGAAGGAGACGATATACCGATGCAAGTTTGATTCCAGAATGCTTTCCAACAAGTCGAGTCCCTTACAGGCATACTCGAAATCGCCTTGACCAAAACACACTGAGATTGTAAAATGCATCTTGTATGGTATTGTATCTTCACTTGTAAGTTTGCTATCCAGCGCTTTGATTTTTAAGCGACAAACCTCGATGGTCACTGTACTGTACAAGCGGCGTTTTACGACAGTCCTCAACTTAGTTTGGTCCGCTCAATAAATGATCTGTGCTAAGGGCCTTATGCAGTGGGGCCAGAAAAGAGATTCTCAGTGTGTTTTGGTCAAGGCGATTTCGAGAATGCCTGTATTTGAGAATTTAATGCGGAGTTTGCGAAATAGGGAGGGCAGGCAGACGTCCCTCATTTTCCTACTAGAGCGGGAAAGCTGTTTGACATCCCGATTGTCAAGGCACTTCACGATGCCGAAGAAGATTTCGGTAGGAAGCAATGATGATGATGATGATGAATTCATTTGCCCGATGTAGCTTGTTCTAATATATGCTGCTATGCGGGAGTGCTGTCAGGCTTGCCGACAGCTTCAAGGTGGTTGCCAGCCCACTAAACGACCGCTTCATAGGGCCCGCTGGGCGAAGCCCCTGAATGGTCGTTCGAGAATATTAAAAATGGTTACATAAGCACAAATAAACAAAGGAAACTCAAACTAGTTAGCGTTACCCTCGCCCCCCAATAACCCCGGCGAACTTCACTATACAACTCTCTTCCACACTCTTCCATTTGCACAGCCATCCTGGCTGTCGGCTGCCGTTCTTGTGCTCGCTTGTATCAAGGGAGTACAGTGGACCTGGAACTGCATTCCTCGCGGGCGCCATCCTTCTCCTTCCGTCACGCTGTCCTGAGGGGTCACTCTTTTTCGTCGTCTTTTTCGACCCCTAGAGCCACTGGGTCAACTGCTCGGAACTGGTCCAAGAGACCTGTCCGTATCATGAATTCGGGCACAACCGCGCGGGCCTCTGGCCGCGTTAGGAGCTCATCGAGTCGAAGAGCGACTCCACGATCGGGACAGGGCGTTTCTCATCCAGTTGCGCTCGTCTTGGAGCAGCGCGCATTCAAGCAAGATGTGACCGACCGTCTCGTTCCCCAGATCGCAACTACATCTTGCTGAGTCGCGCCGGTTAATGCGATGCAGGTAAGCCGCCAGGCCGATTCGCCCAGTGCGAAGCTGCATCAGGATTGATGCCGTCGCCTTCCGTAGGTCGGACCAGTATTCCAGGGTCTTCTTGGTTGGTAGTTCGACTAAGCGTTTCGTCGGTCGGCGTGTTTTCTCTGCGACCCATGATTTTTCCCACTCGGCTTTCGCCTCGCGGCGTATACGGCGTTTAGCCGCAGCTGCGAGACGGACATACCGGTTATCTGGGTTCTGTGGTCCTTGCGGTTCCAGGGCCGCCTCCTTCGCATGTTGGTCGACAATTTCATTGCCAGCCACTCTTTGGTGAGCCGGAATCCACCTAAGCTCTGTTTGGGTGCCGTTGGCTGCGTGTCGCCTCATCATGTCGAGACATCCTTCCAAATAGACCTGTCCCGACGGCATCCGTGGTTTGCGGAGCGCTTTCAGTGCCGCCTGTCTGTCCGAGAAGATGACAAGCCCATTTTCCCATCGTGTCACCCGCGGTGCTATGTTTACCAGGGTTGAATTGAGTGCCACCTCGATGCCGCGAAGTTCGGCAGCGTACACAGTGGACGTGTCATCATCCCCCATTTGACTATGGGTATAGTGATTCTGGGGATCCACGACTGCTGCCCCGATCCTCCCTACAATGCCACTACCGTCGGTGTAGAGAATCAAGGGTCTTTCTCTCGGGTCTTTGGATAGAATGTGGTCATGGCTTTTCACTGCTACGTCTCTGTCCTCGATGGTCACCTCTGGTGGCGCCTGCCATGGCGCCTGGACGAATGCCTTACGACTCTCCCAGTCTCTCGCCAAAGTTCCGGGGGGAGCCATGAGGCATCCGCCCGTCTTCCAGGCTTGCGCTTCCATGGGTGTCCATCCTGACCAGTCTCTCTCATCTGCAGGTCGACTTCGCAACATTGTAGGGGGAACAGCGAATGCTGGTCCTGTCCGTAGCCGCAGGGCCTTTTCTTTCACGAGGCGGTTCATATGGATTGCAACTGGTGGTAGGTGTAGCTCTGTGTTCAGTGCCTCCGCCGCTGTCGTTCTGCAAGGGAGGTTTATTCTCTACAATTGGTTTAATACGATTATGACAAGGGTAGACTAATCTTTAAATGGGCTTCTCCCACTATTGCATGTATCAAAGTCTTGAATATGGTGAATAAATCGGTTTCTCAAAGAAATGGTAAACAGATTACACCCCGGGGTTTTGACAGTAAACCTCCTCAATGAACTGGTGTCTTTTCACAGCCCTCTCAAAATCACAAAGAATAGTTTTGTCACCTGCAGCAATCGCCTCATAAATACGGGCCACATTTCTATGTATCGGACCCATCTCGGCAAAAGCCCCGTTCTTGAGCGCAATTTCCACAATTTCGTCGGTGGCAAAGTCGTGAAGCTGAATGCTGTTTGTACCGACGATCTCAATGAGAGCACTGGGACCTGTAATTCTGATCTCTCCTTTTTCACCGTAGATGCTCCACTCAAGTCCAGGGGATCCCTTGAATGGTGCTCCTCCTCTGATCATAGCCGAAAGTACGGCCCCTGACTTGAGCGAGCCCTGAATCATAACATGATCTGGAGTTGTCTTCTTGGCGTTCTCTTTGGCCACGGAGCCATCGGCTTTAACAATTCTAACCACTGGTCGTTGGTTTGAAAGAAGAGATCTGAAGCTAGAGAGTTCGCCAAGGACTGCGATCGATTAGCGACCGATGACAAGTTTCCTAATGTGTTGGGACCTAAGACAAACCTTCCTGAACGGTATCGAGCAAATGTAAAGCTGGAATCGAGAGTAAGGAGCCACCACTTTCACGGTCAACTAGGTAAGTTTGACTTTCAAGCTCTGTCTGTCCTGCAATCATTCCTTGACTAGTGATTGTAGTGCTAAGAACTTTGCCAATTCTTCCTTCTGCCAAAATGCCTTTCAAAGTTTCGACAATGGAGTCAAACCGCCCTTGAAGGCCGACTGCAGTGAGCTTGACATTGTTCTCTTTTGCCACACCGAGGAGCTCCTTCGCTTCCTTAAGGCTCCCACCAAGGGGCCACTCGACAAAGACATCCTTGCCAGCTTTAAGGGAAGGAAGAATAGACTTGTAATGACGATCTACTCGCGTAGCGCAAACAACAAGGTCAATGTCTTTATCGTCGGCAATACCTAGTCTTGGGAGTCAGATATTTCACTGTACTTAGGGAAATGCACAGAGGGGAACATAATTTTGTTACGTACCTTGCACATTTCCATATGTTCTTACGTGGCCTGGAAGCTTGAGTTCTTTGACGCTCTTCGCAGCACTTTCCTCAGATGAATTACAAACAGCCACAATTCTGAACTTTGAATCGGGGGTCTGCAGATAGGGTAGATGAGCATTAGCTGCCCATGAACCAGTTGAAAGACCAATTATGCCAATGCGAATTGGGCCCATGGTGATGGTTTGATAATGAAAAAGAAAAGTCTATGGTTGATCAATCGAATGGCCTAGCGTTCCCTCTCTTTAAATATATGGAAAAGTTTTGATAGTTTGATTCATTACATCATGACTCATCACCCAAAGAAAGTCAAAGAATGCCCACCCTGCTAAACTGATGATGGTTTGTCATCGGTATCCTACCGGTAGTTATCCCCACCACCGACACTGTTTGTAAGCCAATTAATGATGACAATATGGATACAGTTGTCCTAGAGATTTTTCTAGGTAGTCGGGTTCTGCGGCCATTATTAATCTACCTAGAACGGGTAGTGGAATGTCGGCGGGAGGCCGATGGGATACCGGTGGAGGTGGGTGAGAATAAAGATCGGATGCCAACAGGAAGTTAGGTGTTAAATAGAGGTCCATTCTCCTTTCTGATGCATTTTGAATTGCCCTTGTACGTACTTTGAGGACCGCTGTCAATCATGGCTCATTCTGTTCAAGTCGTCCTCGTTACTCTCCTGGCAATCATTCTTGGTTACCACAAGATTTATGTCCACGATGCGGTCCAGCTCTTCCCAGGCCTTGAAATTTTCTGGGGGAAAGGTGCTAGTTAAACATAGTATTCGCAAAATTATCTCCATTCAGCTTTTGATCCTAAAGAATGGGGATTTCCATTTTCCAATGTAGCATGTTTTACCCTCGCCTTTGAGCACGGTTAACGAAACCGTGACTGAGTGCAAGTATAAAAGACTGCTCTTGCACAGCAAATCGTGGAAGTGGCTACTTAGAAATGGCTGCTGCACAACACACCCGAGCGAGGCGATTTGTTCCAAGCAAGAAAGCAAAGCGCCAGAAACGATGTCGTCGTAAATCAACTCTGATGACAAAGACATGTGAATATAGCAAGAAGTGCGATGCGGATGTCTGGCTGGGCATACGTCTCCGTGAGACGGGCCAAGTATACATTTTTTCGGCGGATGCTTCGGGATTTTGGGCCTTTCTTGGCTCTCAGCTAGTACGTCGCCAATGCTATCTGATGGAAAATCGACTAATGGTTCCAGAATTCATATTATCCAAAACCGAAACTAGTAACGGACCGGAATCTTGAGGTAGCTTGACGCGCATACACAACTCGGGGATGTCAGATATGGATCAAGAGAGCAAAATAACGAAACTAAGGGACCTGGGAGCGCTCATCCAACCCTGATATCTACATCCTTGATTACCTATGCTTTCTAAGTATAGCGTCCCTTTCCATGCTTCTTGGATGACGCCTATTATACCTTGAATCATCTCCCATGATAGAGCTCAAGTGAACTTCCTCGATAGAGAATACAGCTGTAATCTGTCTGCTTCCTTCTCGCACCTGCTCATGATTTATGAAGAGCGTGCACTCGCTGTGCCCGTTATTTTTCTTTTTCTAAAGCGCTAAATCGTGAAGCCACGGAAGTAGAAGTCGGGTGAGAGCTGTGGACGCGTGGAATACACGCTTTCTAGAAAACGTGAAGTGCCGCACGGAAATGGAAGCCAGGTGAGAGTGGAAACCGGGTGAGAGTAGAAGCCAGATGAGAATGCACGCTATCAAGCAGTCGACCCAATGGCGGTCGGGGTGGAAAAAGGCGACGAAGAAGAATGACTCCTCAGGACAGTGTGACGGAAGGAGAAGGATGACGCCCGTTGGGAGTGCAGTGCCAGGTCCACTGTACTCCCTTGATGCAAGCGAGCACAAGAGCGGCAGCCGACAGCCAGGGGACTCAAAGGGACTTCTCACGGTGCAATTGTCCCTTAGGTCCACGTGGGAGTCACGCACAGATGGCGATGTTCCGTCTATACTCTTTAGACAAGCTCTTTGGAAACTGCAATTGAGCTCCACTCGGATGTCAGTCCTGATGGTACTTCGCCATTGATGATTACGGCACGGCTGGCATGGGTAATTCCTATAGGTGTGGCCTATTGAAGGTTTCTATGGCATCTTCGATACCTTTGCTGCATGGAGCACTGAAATTGTGTTGTTAATGACTACGCACTTGATTCTTGTGATTCTTGTGTCGTTAGGAGTGTGCCCAAATATAGTTTTCAAAATAAGAATAAGTAGAAAAATTTATCCAGTTCGGCCATTTATGATCAAATAGGACCATCGGTTTAATACCCTCCCCGACTTATAGTCGGAAATTCTGAATATTGTCCTTGAGAAACGCTGCGGCCTCACGGCGGAAGTCATCAGGAATCAACTCTGAGTGATCAGCGTACATATTTAGCAGTCGGTGACTCTCACTCCACTGCGGCCAGTGACCATATTTACCATCGTTACCGTCGTTTGGATCTAGTGAGTTGACAAACGAAATATAGTACGCGTGGAACGCGTCCGACGCATAATTTGGTAGGATGCCGAAGAAAACTTGGAGAAGATCGCTCCCGTGGAAGGTACCCAGGACCGGTGTTCCGTGGTCATAAGAGCTCATGTATGACCAGGTTGGAACGTCTGGGCTCATAGACTCCGACGCCTCCAGTAAAATGCGCCGACTGAGTGAGAACTCATGGTCCCCGATGATAGCGGCCAATCGTTTGAACTCGGGGTAGACGTTCCACCATTTCCTTGTGCGGAAAGGGGCGCCATCCTTGCTAATGTCGGCGTACAGTGAGACGAACTCATTGAGGACTTGCTTAGAACCGTTTGGAAAGAAGACGTTGCCAAGATAGTCCACAAGCACCCTCTCCTCTGTAATGTTGGACTGGAAAAGGGCAAAGAGCGTCCCCTCATCCTCTTGACTACCAGCAATGTAAGGGACCTTGGCGACCTTGTTTTTCAAAGCCAATTGGTCTGGTGATTCTGCCAGCACAACTCCATCAGGACGAGGGAGGTAGGAAAGCGCGAGGGATTGGTAGCCTAGCATGGCTGGAACAGAGCTCGTGGCATTGAGTAGAGAGGTATAGTCAAGGTTGCGAAGGCATTGCAGCGTATCTACAGCCGCCGAACAACCCGCACTGTCGACGACCTGTAGACTAATTAGCCTTGATCTCTCGCTGTAGGCTTTGGAAAACAAACGTTGTCGTAGATCCCCTGAGCTTTCGGACAGTCTGTTGCGTCCGCTGCTAGGAATGAATCTGAATTCATAATGGCCCCGCGGAATAGGGATTCTCCATTATGGGTATTATTGCCAGAATATAGGGCCATTTGGTCAAAGACAGACCAGGCCCCAGCAGACTCACCCCAAATCGTGACTTTCGCAGGATCCCCTCCAAACGCACGAATATTGTCTGCAACCCACTGCAGGCCCAGGCGTTGATCTAAAAGCCCCGCGTTGGACGATCCCTCTTCCTGGATTTCTCGACCAGGAAGAAATCCAAATCCTCCCATTCTATAGGCGACGGTCACCACAATCATAGGTTTGCCTAGCTCAACAGACTTCTTTACCCATGGTGTTCCATCATGCATCGAGTTCTAACCTAGTTGGAAGCCACCACCGTAAATGTAGAAGAGGACAGGAAGGTCGGCCCCCTCTTTGGCGCCCACCGGTCGATGAATATTGAGGTAAAGGCAGTCTTCGCTGGCTGCGAGAACCGGCTTCTGGAATATGGGGCTATTGATCAGAGTGGCGAAGAACTGCGGGAGAAGGGAATTTCCGTCTGTCGTGCTGGCGATGAATTGTGGACAGATATTCTTGTTTTTTGTAGCTTTGTAGACCCCATAAGGCTCGGTCAAGTGTACAGGGGGCTTGAAGCGGAGATTTTCAACCGGAGGCTTAGCGAAGGGTATGCCAGGAAATTGTTCGGTCTCGCCAGCTAATCCAATTATCGTAGCCGCAGGCGAGGCTATAGTGACAGTTGGGGTAGGGGAAGTACCATGAGCCATAGGTAAGATGGCAAGGATGGTTGCCCCGAGTGGCATATAGGTCTTCATAGTCGATAAATGTTGTCCGAAACTTATCAAAGAACCAAGGCCCAGACACAAAATGAAAAGCTGAAATGATCTAGAGCATTTACCTTTCTCCTTCCCCCAGGTTATATAATTCTCACCCAGCGTTTTATACTGCAAGAGCATGCCTTCGTTTGGCCTTCCACTTGTCCGAAGAATCCCGTAGCTTTTGGATCCATCCTGTGTGCAAAGATCAGCAGCTGGTGTGAAAACAGCCACTAGCAAGCCAGACGTACGAAAATACGCAGCTGAATTGAAACTAGGCCCAGAAGGAGGGAACTTCCTCAGTACCTTGGTAGTCCGTGTAGCACGCAATCCACACGATTGGCTGTGGAGCCCTCGGGCCAAAGGATTCAGTTTCAGACATCGCATTCGCCTAGGATAGCTAGTATAGGTATCAGCAGATAAGATCCTCCACTGGATGAACCGCGTTTTCCTCTCGTGAGGAGTTAATGTCGATCGGAGAGACTAATATTACAATCAGCAGCAGGATGATTCAGCAGATACCCAATCTCTTGCCTGTTTTATATAGTAATCGGAGTATTCTCGAAAACGGCATTCTAAACAGGAGCCTACAGATAGTTCTTCAATCAATCACCGATCGCTGGGATTGGTTCAATTGGCCCTCACGAGTACTAATCGATACCGATATCCTTAAGTCCGACAGTTAATCCTATATGACCTTATATTACCCCTGATTCTGGAGGCGCTACTTCACCAGCTACATCCAGGCCCGGCAACGTGGAAAGTTATCCTCTGAGTACATTCCTCTCCAGCCTGTGACATCCTGACCATGTAGAATATGGCACACGCTTGGTTTCTTTTTAAAAGGATCGACATAAAGAGACTGCTCTATTCCTGCCTAAGATTTTGGTGGTTTCACTAGGTCTCAGCCACAAATTTGCTAACGTCGAATCCAACCGGAAAAGAGCTGCGACGCAACTCTAATTGCAAGGTCTATTGCTAAAACCGGTATCCCACCGGTCATCCCACAGCTTGTACTCCACTTGATTATGAATTTGCTAGTGTTACAAAACGTGGATAACTAGTTATAACGTAATTCACAAGCGGGCCGCTCACACAAGCGAGCCGCTCACCTCTAAAACACATAGTAAATGCGATTTTTCCAGGTCACGATGACGATGATAATGATGATGAATTCATTTGCCCGATGTAGCTCGTTCTAAATACATGCTGCTATGCGGGAGTGCTGTCAGGCCAGCCGACAGCGAAAAAGGGTTGTCTCCAGCCCGCACGACCTCTAACTGGTCTGGTCGTCTAGAGGTGAAATACGATAGAATACGACGCTTTGTTTCCCAGCGCCCCACTCAGATTGCGCTAAACTTAACTCGGTCAGCCAAAGTCCCCACCATCTTTTTGATATATTTCTGGTAGATCAACAAAATTGCCGTAATTACAGATTCCGGCATTGAGCAGACCATACTTGCCGAAACGCCCTGGGGCCATAACACTGGAATTCGAAAGCTGATTACCACCAGACAATCACAGTTTGCTTCTCGGTCTGTACTTATAAAGATATAAGTTATATACAGATAATTCCCTCCCCATCTTCCCGCAAAAAGTAATGCAGATTGTGGATATCAGACAAGAGATTCCCGAAGCTCTCGAACATCCATGTTTTTCTCTTCGGAAAATAAATCTTGTTCACGTTCGTTGATTGATCCGCCATACTTTGCAGTTGTAAAATGGCCGCTTTCAAAGGTGGGGGGCATCCACATTATTGTAACTAAAGAAATCAAATACTGTGATTGCTGAGTCATAAGAACACGATAAACGCCAGAGTCGAGAGCTATATAACCACTTTTTCATAGCTCCAGTGTTCTCGTCCACCACAAATGACTCTAACCTCGAAATATCAACATTCCTGCCCCAGCGGAGTTAACCACGCTAGTTTCCATTGGGACGAGCAAACAAAATAATAGAAACTCGACAGGAAGACTCGGCCGGTTGAAGAATACGGTGCTGTACTGTACTCGAGATTGTCTCTACAGGACTGTTTGTCGAATGTTGATCATTAAGCTAACATCAGTCGGGATAAAATAAGGGTTGTGCCATTTGGTGTTGGTAGGCCCGCCCACTTATCAGCCCTTCCAAACCTCGTTGTCATTCTGGCCTCAAAAAGCAAGTAGACCAGAACAAATGTTCTTTCGCCGTGTTCCCTTGTATAGTCTGTAGAGCATCCAGTTATACTGTATCTATTCCTAAAGTAGGCCTCTTTTCGTGAACATATTATCGCCAGTGGCTCCGACTGTGGTTTATCATCCAATTGCCCGGCCCGTGTCTGTTGAGAACGCCTCAGGTTAAATTCCCCGTATTATTGTCACAAAATCTACACTGATTTACTCGGCTCATGAATTTATCTTTTCCCAAAACTGGAGAAAGGCTCTGCGCGAGATCTAACCGTGCAAAGTTTGGACAACGCCGAGAAGTTTATGCTGAAATTGCTGCTGCGCTATTCAAGAGTAGGGTTGATGTGTCTGAAAAGTTGAAATAAAATTGGTAAAGGAATGTGAAGGGCTGGTAAAGTGGATCCAACAGTGATGTTTGATGGCAATTTGAACGTATTAGCTAAGGATACGTCAACTGGCTTAGGGTCGATGATAACTAACAGGCAATCAGGTGATAGCAGGGAGAGTGGAGTGCTAGATCGATGATAAACACGCCGTTCAACTGGATTATTCAGAAGTTGTTTGTAGCTTTGCGCACCAACTGCCCCATGATCTCGAGCATGACCAAATATATAAGTTGTCAGGCCGGGCTGGTTGAATGACAGATAAACAATTGTTTACCTAGAAACTAATTGCCCAGGATAACTATGAGTCGAATAACCACACTCTTTTCTGCGATTTGTTACCAAACATTAAATTACCTGTTCCCAGCATTTTCTGTCCGCAATATTCCACTTTTCCACTTTCTAGCCATATTGAACTGTTCTTTTAATCAGAGTAACAATGTCTTCTGTTTAATTGTTCAATTTTTATAAGCTTTGAGGCTGGCTATTCAATTTGGGCATTCGCCCAAGAATAACGGATTGGTCACCACACCCAGCCACCTTCACTCTGCCCCTCTTATTCCACAGAGCTAAACTCTCTGGTCAAGCTAATAGTTTTTTGAATAAGAAAAGGGTGGGTGAAAGATATTTTGCGGATATCTTCACCAGTCGGCAATGCACGTGCTTTCTCCTTGATGTTGACAGATGTTCAGCTTCGTATGGCGTCTACTTCCTATCCTTGAAGGTCTCCAGGTTTCCGATGGACCGACAAACATCGACACGCGTTGGCCTTTCTTGGAAGAGCAGATCGCACATTTTGAGTGTGTATAAAGCCTGATAGCAGAGATAGGTATTCATATGGGAGACTTCCTCCGCTAACTGTCATGACGAAATAGGAACATCAGTCGACTCGAATTCTACAGCCACCAATGGGCAAGATGCCAATGATCCAATTAAGAGGAACGCGCTACATGTACCTACAGGGCTCTAATCAATTCTTGAAACACCATGGTAGACTCGCAAGACGTCAAAATAGCCATCCATTTCATGCGCTAGAGTTTTCCTCGATACCCCAAATGGTGTGCCAGAACTCACTGACGAAAGGACCGCCGTCTTCTAAAATTTCTCGAAAAATTCATTCTCACCAATTTGACCAAGAACAGAAACAATGTAACGTGTTACAAAATTCCTCATGGCATCAACTTTCTCACCGCAATTTGGTGGTGTATTCATGTAGACAAATCGAACAAGTTCAATGATACCACTCACTCCCGTATCATAAAGTTTGAAAGGCCGCGGGAGATTCGAGACGCCGTCCACATCCCTACACCACGCCGCGACCAGGTTGGATACCGTGCTCCTACGACGGCTGCTTGCGGTGTCAGGGATCGATCCGAATCTCTGTGTTGCAGACCACTCTCCAATTTCCGTTGCCGCATATCACGGACGCGTGAACACGGTTGCTTGTCTACTGAGTATGGAGGGCGTGGAGATCAATGGAAGGGATGTAATAGATCCGCCTATTTGTCGAGCGGTTGCACATGGCCATCTCGATGTGGTAAGACTCTTAGTGCAGCAAGGCGCACGTCTGAACATCAATGAAAGCACGATCGCAACTCACGACACTGCTCTCTGCATTGCCGCCGGTGGTGGTGACTTGGAGATGGTCGAGGCACTACTAAGCCATGATCGGATTGATATGAACCTCAGGAATCAATGTTCTGAGGATCCATTGATGTTGGCGGTCAAGGGCGGGCATTCTTCGATTATTGATGCACTTGTGGTCAATCCCAGACTGAAATACTTCAGTTTGACAAAATCCCTGGATCTAACAAGGAACGATTGCATCCAGAGGGCCATTCGAAGCAGAATGGAAGATGCCAACAATCCACAAAGATTGTTGAAGCGGTCTCCAGGGAGAAGGTTTGGTGTTCTGTACGAGCTGGCGACATCTACTTCGGGTAGCTGTCGTGATGCAATGCGGGACGGCCGAGTTAATCGACACTTCCTCCGCTAGCTACATTGCCCACATTGTCACTGGATCCGTAGTTCCTTGTTCATAACATATTGGGTTAGTAAACGTGGAATTGTCCCAGAGCATGCGGGAGTATTGCAGACACATTTTACGAAGACTATTCTGTGCCCTTCTTACTGTAATCAGAAGACAAGCAACCGTGTCCACACTTCCGTGCGATGCGGCACCAGACATTGGAGAGTGGCCTGCAACACAGTGATTGAGATCTATTCCTGGCACCGCAAGCAGCTGCCGTAAACTGCAGTGTCCAATCTGGCTGCCCCGTGATGAAGCGATGTAGAAGGTCCCTCGCGCCTCCCGTAGCCTCCGACGAAGTTAACATCGATGCCGATCTCGGCCAGTAGCCTTTCGGTTATCTCATCGTATGACAAGTGCGTTGACAGCCAAAGAGGCGTATTGCCTTCTTTGTCTTTGCAGTCCACATTGGCACGAGGATAA